TATGATAGCTTGAGAAATGAAATTCTTCATAATACTTCATTAATTAATCTCTTTGAGATTCCTCCATTGAATTTTTTTTAAAATATCTTTTAAGATGTTGAAACCATAATCAATAGAAGTATAAAGAAAATACAAGTAAATCGTGAATTTAAGAGTAGATGGTGTGGTCCAATAGTAATCTTTTTTTAAGTTTGATCTTGAATCCTTTGTTAGTTGTCATTATAGGATAACTCTACTTATGGTTCATATGGAATGAATAACTCCAATAATTGGTTGAGATGATTGAGATTGAAATTATCTTTCATGATCTCATTTATCACCTCCATACTCTCTTCTTTATATGTCTCATAATATTTCCAATACGTTAACAGATATATGTCATGATGGAAGTTATAATATCTTGATCTATCTAACTCATTGTTATTTGTCTTTAAAGGTTATGGTGACTTAAAAGTGTTTCCATATTGAATCTCTTCCAAGATTTGATATGGTTACACATTAAGGGAAGTATACTTCATCAACTCCCAAAGGTTATACCGATCAACCCTTGAATGAATTCATTTACTTGCATGTTTCTACTTTATATTTTCTTTAAGGACTAGCATATCATTCGCCTAGGGTTTTATATAGAGGCTTTTGCACTTCCATCATCACAGGAAGTCATGATGTTCTTCACCTTCACACACACACACTAGATAAGAGCTCCAGCAAAGTCTTTAGCTGATTTAATAAGAAAGAGAAAGTGAATACATGATTGATTAACCTATTGGTAATTGATTGTAATGCCACATCTTATCCAGTTAGTTCTCACCTTTGATTCATAATGAAATATTCTAAGAATTAATCTATTAGGTCCTTAAGGGCATGGAAAGATCCTAACTTAAGAGTTTAACCCCCTCCCAAGGTGAGAGACTATTTTTCATAAAGCATCTTATCTTTGCTCCTTAAAACCCCCCATGGAATTTTTATATTTTTTAGAAAATTCAAGAATTCTTTATCCCATTATAGTGGCCCATCTATGACAGCTTAAAATTTGATAAAATCCTTCATCAAGCTCTCAAAAAAAATGGGATTTATAATTATATTTAAAACTATAAATGTTATCCTTGAATAGCTTGGCTTCGAGCTTCTCTAGTGAGTTTATATATTAGTTGTTGCACCAGTTTTAAAAGTTAAAATTGGAATTGGCACAACCTTTGACTTCTTCAACATTTTTCCTAGTGACCCATAACCATCATTAAACTTTATTTTGTGTGTTTGTCTCCTGGGACACAAAAAGGACGCTTGTCATTATTTTTATAGTCTTGGTTAATTTTCTCTTTACATAAAATTAATTCATCATCTCCTGCAAATCCATCTAACGATACTTAATAAGAAGTTGCAATTACCTCTTTAGATCCACCAACTACTAGCTTTTCGAAAAGACAATGTTCTAGTTTCTTCTTTTCATTGCCTAAGTAAAATCATCTTTGCTTTTATTGAAGAAATGAATTCCTTATCTTTACTCTCTACTTGTGTTGTGTGTGTCATAGACGACGTTAATTGATGATATCAAAATGAAATAAAAGCTAAAAATGATGATAAAACAAACAACAACCTTCCATGAGAGACAACATTCCAATATTTAAGTCAATAAGGGAAAAAAAACATAACATTTGAGTTAGTAAGAGAAAAAAAAAAAAAAAGGGTAAGCTCGAGAAAGTGTTAAGTAAGAGTAAAGAAAATTGTTTCGGAGTTTAATTTCCTTTAACCTTCTTAATTGATCAAACCTCTCGAAATTGTTACAATTGAAGAAAGATGGTGTGTGATACACTTGATTGCCAAACACCTTTTTGTCACATATTAATGTTGTCTGTACCATATTTTTATCATATATCTACATCATATGTCTTATATAATGAAGTAAAAATTCTGTAAAAAAAAAAATAGGTTGAGTGACCAAAAGCTGTAATTAACATTGGTGTTCACAACTAACCCATAAATAATTATAACAATTTTTTTATTTTATCATTAAAATTACCTTTTTCAAATAATAAATTTCTTATATAATCAATTTTCTCAAGAGTTTTTTTTTTTTTTTTTTTAAGAGGCAAAATTTGTGAGAAATGAAGAGGACAGATATGTCCACAAAAATACAGCTAGTAGTGGGCATCTCCATGAATTTGACTCGTTTGGTATCATTTTAGATTATCTTTTGGAGTTCTTCTCAAATGATATATATATATATATGCATTATATTCTCTCTCTCTCTCTCTCTGTGAATATATATATATATATATATATATATATATATATATTGGAGTTAGTAGCCTAACCTGTATAGATATATTTTGGCCCAACCCTCCTCCTCTAGTCTATAATGGGTGCTTACGGTTTTGCTTTGTTAATTTCAATATTAGTTGTGCGGTTCTAGCAATGGTATTATTTTGACATAAACAATTCATAGTATTTTAACTTCTGAAAAGAAAACCAGTTTGTATATGTGCTCATACCGTAGATTAAATCTGAACGGTTCACAATTATCAATCTTTCTTGACTTGCTAAAAAGAGATTAAATCAGAAAAACAAAAGTTAAGAGTCTAGTCACATGTCATTATGCTTTTTAACAATTATCAACAAAACCTCACCGCATCCATACAAATTAGTTGGTTGTAATTATAATTATAATTATAATTAAATTCATTATATATTTTAAAAATAATTACTTAAGTCATTTTATAGTTAATAAAATATTTTTACAATAAATATTTTAATAAAATCTTTTAATTATTTAACAGTATATGTTAAATTAGTAATTAAAATTTGTTAATAGAAAAAGTACATTGAATTTATAAGTAATAAGTTTAGTTGTAATTGAGTTTTGGAAATTATGAAAGGACATAACTTTACTAATTTAATCACTAAGCATAAGGGAAGGTTTAATAATCAATTACTACTCTTTATGATTTTGAAACTTTATAAATTAAATATCCAACTTAATTAATAATTGGAGTTCAGTAAAAATTCCATAATTATTAATTATCATAAGATAAGTTATTTGATTTTACATTCAATTAATTCAATATATATATCACAGATCATATTAATTGATACCTTGCCTTAGTCACAAAATTTCATAAACCGATTAGAAGATATAAACTATTAAATTAAAAAAAAAATTACATAATCAGTTAAAATAAACCTCATCTCATCTCTAATTATATATTTATCATCTGAAATATACTTTTTTTTTTTTTAAATTTAGAATTATTAGTGTACAGATATCATCTAATTAATTTCATCAGCCAATTGGGTAGTAGAAACAGTAATTATTTCTACTTTTTGTTGGTTAAATATATAATCACCTATAAGTATGGTGATAGAGTAGAATATTGATGAATTAGCTAACATCCACTAACAAAAGGTAAAGAGTGTAAAAAAGTTTCATAAGGAAACAGATGTAACAAAGCACCCAAAAAAAAAAAAAAAAAGTTTCCCTCAATCACATTTACAATTACAAAGATTTTAAATATTTACGGCCAATTTTTCGCACTGAGATATACATTTTAGTAGTGAAATATTTTAGTATCTCTTAGTGTTTTAAATCATAATATGTTACTATTTAAAATTGTGTGAAATCATCATATACTGCTATAATATTTAACTATCAATAATTACCGTATTTACCCATCATTTGCTATTGTAACTAGAATTGTCAATCATTACTCGTTAAATATATATTTATGTTAAATAATAAAAAATAACATATAGAGATCGACAACCAGCGTATAGTCATACACAATAATAAATAATAGTGAAAGATAGTAACAATTCACGGCTAACTACAAAAATAAATAATAATTATATAACCAATAATAATCATAAGAGACAATCACGCAAACAAAAAATAATTACTAATAACTCTACATTTATTAAGGTATCAATTACTTGAAATAATTTAAAATATTATAGAAATAGCTTAATTTGTTACAATAAAAATTCTTTTCAAATTCGTAAATCTATAAAAATTCAACACATATTATCTAACAGAAATTTGATAGTTAGGATTACCCAAAATTGATAAATATTTATTTTAGTAAATCTAATTGTATGAACTTTTTTTTTTTGACAAATAACCAATTTGTCAACTTGGGTGCAATCAGTAATTGAATTCTATTGAAGTACGAGATGATAGGCATTGAGTTTGAAATATCATATCATAATATTATTAGGGATGAGTTATTTTTTTTAAGCAATCTTTAGGTTGGAAACCAGTTTTCTAATCTAATGGAAGCCTATTCAATATAAAGTTCTGAAAAATTTTATCTAATTTTGGCAATGATATTTCCTAAAAGAAGTTCCATCGAATATTTCTCACTAGTTATTGTATGCAACCATATAATAAATATAATATAGTCTACTACTTGGTGTTAATATTCTACAAAAAAAAAAAAAAGATGTTATTCCATCATTATACACACACACACACACACACACACACACTCACACACACACAAGAAGAGGTCATGTATGTTAATCTCAAAACCAATCCTAGAATTAAATTACTATTTTAATTTTGGAGTACTTAAAACATCATATCTTGATGATTCCTTCAAGACCCTTTCGTAAAACGATCAAATTTCTTAGTTTTTAATCAGTCTTAAAAATAAGATGATAACATAATCGGCACATAATTATTTGGGACTAATGATAATTAATTTAATCTTTTATTAAGTTAAATTCCAATAGAAGACTACTATTTTTGCTCTCAAGCCATTTTACGTGTGA